AAAAAAAAAAAAAAAAAGCGTAAACCCCTTAATCTGTTTTCTAACAGAGTGATAATTATCTCAGCAGGTTACCATGCCTATAACTAAAATAATGTTGGCCCGTACACTCCAAGAGAGGAAACCTAGGTTTAAATCTTCGTCATTTGGGCCTCCGGCCATCTGTTTCTTGAACAACTACCTTCCCACATGTCCCACAACCTGAATATTTCGCCGCTTTCAGCTTTCTTAGTTTGCAGTTATCAATACGAAAAGATTTAAAGAACACTCGAGATACTTAAAGATATCGATTTTTTGATTAGACGAAAGATCGATTTACATTTCAAGATGAAATAAAAAGCTGTGGAGTACCCGATGACGGAAGTCAGTGGTTCAGTATTTTACCTGAGCTCGACACTAAAGTGTGTTTGTCTGAAGCCAGATTGAAAGAGTTCATAGGAAAAACCAAAAAGAAAATTTATGGGATGAACTCGTTCTACCAAGGCACGACGGAAATGGCTGAGCTCATAGGTATAGACTAATTAATAATGCATCAATGAGTCAACGAAACTATTACAGACCAAGAATTGTGCATGATGTGAATGTCTATTATGGTTCTATAAATGCATTACTGTAAGAATGACAGTAAATCGATGCTATCCAAATTACACCCTTCTTCCACCACCCACTGCTGGTCGTCGGGTAAGGGCTTATTGTAGATGACGTTGCACGCGTACCCCGTGATCAAAAGCCCCGGCGGACGCAGCCCACAGGCTTCCATGGCCGCTGCCACTTGCGAGAGGGTGGTTCTGATCACCCGCTGGTCCGGCGACGACGCTCTTTCCGCCACCACCACGGGGAGTTGAGGGTCCCACCCCTTCTCCAACAATTGGGGGATGAACTCGACAATGCGGTGGAGCGTCATCAAGAACACCGTCGTTCTCAGAGGCACGAACTCGGGAAGCTGGGGCACGGCTCCTCTTCTGCCGGTACCGGTGCAGATAAGCACCTGGTCGGCAACCTCACGGTGGGTGGCGGGGATGTTGGCGAGAACGGGAGCAGCTAATGCCAGCGTCAACCCGGGGATCACCGTGGGCGTGTATCCCTTAGACGCAAAGAAGTTGTATTCTTCGCCACCACGACCGAAAATGTAGGGGTCGCCTTGTTTAAGTCTCACCACCTTCAAGTTTTGCTCGAGACCAGCAAGCCCTCGGTCCAAAAGCTCCTGCTGGGCGGCCTCGGCGTTGCCAGGGAATTTGCGGGCAATAAACAACTCAGTGCGCTGTTGAGGGATGAGATCAAGCACCTGTTGCGGTACGAGCTTGTCAGCAAGCACGATATCTGCGGATTGGATCGCGTGCATCGCCCCGATGGTGAGCAACGCCACCGAGCCGGGCCCGGCACCAACAAGGGCAATCGACCCTTTCGCCATCGGAGCGGCTTCGGGAGCGGGTTCAGGGCGAGTGGATTGGGTATAAGCCACGGTGAGGTCGTCAATCGATAACTGGGCAAGACGGGCAAGCGGGTAGTACTCGACGATCTGCGATAACCAGCGCGTTCTCTGTAGCTTCTTTTGGTCGGGGGTCATGCCAAACTCGTGGACAAGCTCGTTGAGCTTCGACGTAGTCACGGCGTCGTCGTCGTTGTCGCCGTCGCCGCCTTCCAACCCGTCCTCCTGCTGGAGCCGCTGTCTGAGCGCCCCCACGGTGTCGCAGATGTCTCCGATGTTCGCCGGTAACGCCGAAGCCAACTCCCGCTTGATTCGCAGCGCCAACTTGCACCCTTTGCCCCCAGTGGTCACGCCAAACTGGAAGTCGCCCTGGGCAAACGTCGAAAGCAACGTGAACGTGCTCAACTGCGCCAGATCACTGGTGTTTATCGGCACCCGGTTCCGTACACAGTACTGGTAAAGCCGTTGCTTAGTTTCCAGGTACGCCAGGGGAAGGGTAACAAACACGCGGTCAACAAAGCCGCCCACTGCCTCTCGGCCCGCCGAGGCAATGATAGCGGTGACCTTGTCGGTGTCGATGGCCGTCTCGATGAAACGAACGGCGCCGTCAGTGGGGGATATCGGCTGGGGGCCGGCAAACACGATATCGGCGCCATGGGCCCTAAGCGTCTGCGCCCTCATTGCCAGCACTTGCGAGGTGCCGGTGCCGACGATGAGCACGGTTTCACCAGCGGTGTTCTGGCATGTCAAAAGCCCCGGCATCCGATGAGTGATGGAGTCAACAGGCGCCGGTACATGCTATATAGCGGGCTTTGGTACGGCGTGATGATCGCACGTGCACTGGTGAAATTTCACCGTGCTGTGTGCAGGTGTGGAGTCAACACTGACTCAGGCGCATTACCTGAGTCAATCCCAAGGCAGATTTAGCACCTGTGGCGATACTGGACGATCTGCTAAATGACTGGATTTCATGGTTGATGACGGGTGTTTACTAGCTTCCACTTGAGCTATTCTTTATCTATTTTTTTGAGGCCCTGCTTGAATCTAAGAGAATCTTTACTGATGTGGGATCATTTCAGTGCTTTCTGAGACATTTATAAAGTTCATAAGGAGTATCCTTAGATTCCTTTGGGGACCCTGTTGTGGCCCTTGTGGCGTGAATGACAGCAGGTTCATTGGGTGTGGAAATTCTGCCTGCAGTGGACGTTTCGAGAGCGGCATCCATTCCGGCAGAGGCGTTGGGAGCTGGTTGCTGCTCACGGGCACGGTCACCAGGGATATCGCCGCTATCGTTGTGGGTGGAAGTAAACCCCTCAACGGCGGCATCAACACGAGGCGGGCTTTGGTTCTGGACCCCCCGGCGGTGGCCAGAGCCCAGCTGGCGACTCTCAGCCGCCGGGGCGTCACCCGTACGCGTGTTGTCCACGGAAGAACCCGCCATGGTCAAGTCGCGGGAGTTGAGTAAGAGGATAATTTTCCCCTCGTCAACACCCCCCCCTTAGACTTAATTCGCTCGCTCATATCGGTGGTGCTTGGACATTCCTCAGCGTCGTCGCCTGGGAAACGCTATGGGGAGTGCGCGTACCAAGTTCAGCCACTGCCGAGAATAAGTCCACCCGGTGTATTGAAGGACAATCTAATAATAAATCTAGAGTTCATTTCAATTAGAAACTTAGAGTGATCGACTCAGTAGATTTGCTATGGAGTCAGGAGGGCGTTGGTGGCATAACCAATCGCAGTTTCAATATGGAGTGGCCGTATATTTTCGCTAATACTCGGAGCGCGTCATGGTAGATCACTGCCGTCCCTAATCCCTAACACGTCTACCCCTACCCATCCATGTGTTCCAATTGGTGTATACGACTTTGGTCAGTGAACTTGTACGGTCCCAAAGCCGCCGGCACCGACCTACTGCGATAATCCCAGTGGTGCAAGCTGATTTTGGTTCTGGCGACGTCCTTATATTTCAACTTCCGACGACGTCTACTCCTAGCCATCACGCAAAAAATGCTTGCTTAGCTCATGCTGGAGGTCGTCGGTAAAGTGGGTGTCGAGAACTGTCTTCAATTCTACCCTTTTTGTTGAGCTATAGCAAGATTTACGAGATAATGTTGTTCGACAGCGCTGAGGCCGCCACTATGGAGAGAATACGTCGGCCGCTAAGTACAACTGAAACCGGTGCTCAGCTTTATCTTGTCTAGAGCTCACGGTGGTGACGATGCCGACGGTGTGCCTGGTGGCGGCATTTCCAGCTACTGACGCCTCGGAGCCAATTCTTAGGTCGAAGCTTCAGATCTGCTTGGCCGACTTCCCTAGGCTTCACCATTCTGTCAGCTAGTGGCTGTTAACCTTGGAGGCCTACTGCGGCTATGAGTACGACATGGCGTGAACGTTCGTCCTTCCGGCCAATTTTCAGGCATTGTGGCAAGCACACCGAATGGGGCCAAAGTGTCAGTGCCCCGCTCCTCTAGCCATCATACCAAATTTCCTCCGGATGAACAATTTCCGGGGTTAAAGGTCGTGAAAAACAAAAGAAGAGACATCTTTAGTTTTACTCTGGGCACGCGTCGAGGTCTCTGCCTTCACTTACGTTGCCGTAAAGCTCCTACATCCATGTATGGTAATATTGACTGGTATCCTTTCCGGTGGCTTCGCGCACGATTGCGGCATTGAAACGGAGGCTCGTTATCTCGTAGGACCAGCCCCACGCACGGTTGTTGTCTAATACAGGCGCATCTACGTACCAAGCATTCTAACCGTTGTCAAGCGACAAATTTAGCCTGGTAGTTGTGGTATAACTGCTGGCGCGGTGGCGGTGTTGGTGATCGTGGTGTGCCTGATTAACGGGAAGAGAGCCCACTCCTTGTACGTTGTTGCTGAAACTCTAAAGCGAGCATTGACGATGTTGTATAACCCCGTGGCCACAGTTTGGTGTTGGTAGCATAACCGTTGTCGTCGGTGTACTTCTGGAAGTGACGCTCGCCAATCCCCTTATCCGGTCCAAAATACCAACTATTGAAGCTGAAAAATTATGGGCTGGCCAAGTTGACTAATTTCGTACATATAACGCCTCAATGAAAGAGGATTACTTTAAGTTATTTTCGACTTATCGCTTTAATCGTTATCTCGACCAAGCACCGCGATGGTACCACCCAATTATAGTGATTGGATGTGCCACGAGTCACCAAATAGTGCACAGGAAAGAGATTCTACTTGTTCAATCATCAACCGAACACTCCTCTGTATCATTTAAGTTACCCAATTAATCAATTCGATTTATTGGAAATATTCGATGAGCCCTTTACTACTCGTCAATCGTGGTTGGTGCTATCGTGAATGAGAACTTTGTCTTACTAACGACGTATAAAGAGAGTGCTCAGACAGAGTATCACCAGGAATTGCGGCTACGTAGTTTACACAAACAGTTTCATTACCTATGCACCGGGGACAACGTCAACAAATGTCGATGTGTCCATGTGATGATCCTGCTCAAGGCAAGACTAACTCTTCTCGCCGTGTCAATCAGGTGTGGTTGGCGTCGTCACCCTGGGCGTCACCAGCTTCGACGTAGTACAGGTACAGGTCCAAGCCCTCTTGGAGTCTCAAGCTTTCGATCTTCTCGATAATCAATTTCATCGACTTGTAAAGTCTTTCGTCGAAGGATTTCCACCAATCCGGGTGTTTCTTCATCAAATATTTGATGATGGGGACAGCCTTCAATTTTCCATCTTCCCAGGAGAAGCCCTTAGCGAGACCCAGGAAAAATAACTCGTATTTCGCCAAGAACGGCACGTCAGTATAGAAGGACAAGAAATCAAGTAAATTGCAGGAATCCATCCGCTGAGGGTTTAAATATTTGTAGATCTTCGCAAAGATTGCCAACGGAGAAATGAAATTAATCATAAACCATTTCTGGAAGTCATCTCTGAATCTACAAGCAAACAAGTAACGTTGTTGGATGGTGTCTTTCCAAGCCTTACATTCTTCCCCACACCACCTTTCAAAGCCATGACATATGGCTTCGGCTTCTTTATCCCCTATTCTGTGCGTAGTACGCGCACCAGCACGACTGTCATAAATGCTCAATAACTCGAGTAATGCCGACATATTGCGGTCAAATTGCTCAACCAAATCAAGAATTCGATCACGTCTCCCGATTTGGGTGGTGGGTGGCGGGTGGCTTGCCCTATCGAACATTCCATTAATCTCTTGCTGTAAGGCTGTTTCATCTGGGAGTCGATAGCCAATGCGGGCGAGGCCGGTTAAGGTCGGGGTGTCGGTTTCGTGAAATAACATCCGCATGAGCGTCTGTTTGGTTATGTCATCATCGACATCTTCTAAGAATGGATCAGACCTGTGCCAATTAGCATCCTTCAACTTGTCAAAGATTTCGTCAATGATAAAGAACAGCGACTGCAACGTAAAACTCGCCGCACACATCCGGCAAATGGTACCGGTACCCCAGGACGATGGGATGTTAGAGTAATTGTCCCAATAGGCTTTAATTTCTGGTTCCGACGCCCCTGCTTTTAATTGAGGGTGTACGAAGGCATGAGCTTTGGCCATGTATGCTCTTGGATTGTACAAGGACTCAAGAAACCACTTGTCAAACTCGGCGTCGGTGTTGCATTCGCTCAATTTTGTTTTCACGTCATTCAAGCTAAGGTCCCCCAGAAGCCCGGTCTTGAGACTAATTATTCTCTTAAGCTCTCTCAAGTCGTCGTTGGATAGGGGAACTTTAGATTCGTTGGCTTGCTTGAAAACAATTCTGACTGTTTGTCTGACCGCTTCGGCGGCGTCATAGGCTTCCCGAAGTTCATTAGCGTTATGACAGGTTGCCATGTAACCTCTCGGAGTTGACCGCAAGTCGGGTAAAGCGTTGAAGCTTTCTAATTTTTTCAGTTGTGTAACCCGCATGGGTTCATTGACGTTAACAGTGGGCTCTTGACTGGCGGTGTTACTCATTGCAAAGTGAGTGTGATGAGGTGGAAAAGTTACAAGAGATGTGAGATCGTAGCGTTTAAATATATACCTGGCAGGTGTAGTGAGGTGAGGGTGGTGCAGGTTTCCTTGCAGCAGGCATGCACGCACGCCACGCCTCAGTGGGCCCGGGCACAAAAGTTTCAAGTATTTGCAACACCCACCTGCTTAGTGTGCGTGGCACTTCACGGTCAAATCCAGAGCCAACATCGGTATAGTAGCGGGAACTACCTTGTAGCCGGCTAACAGGTCAAGACCAGTGTTCTGATGATTTTTCTAGTGTAAGCTCAAACCGCCAGAAGCTTCATCGCTCAGGTCATACAAGTCAATCGGCAAATACGACCGATTGTTCGGGATTATTCTGGGACGCGGGGTATCCCAGACCACAGGTAAGATAAGCTCACCACTAATTGTTGTCAGGTCAACGTTGCACCAGATGCCTCAAGCCGAGAATGCTGCAGCACACACCCCATCCTGATGAGGAAGGAGGTGCATGGTTTGAAACTCAAAAAGTCTAGATTGGCACCTGATGAATGCGGAGGCTATAGTCATGGGACGATTTCGAAAGGGCTCACCGAGGGTACCGCACCTACAGTGGCTATATTTGGAAATTTCCCCGGGTATCGCCATTATCTAGCGATGGATGTCCACGAAATACAACTGGTACTATTAATAACAAAGAGGGACGGGTGGTGATTGAAAGTGTGGACTACAGCAACTTTAACTCGGCTTGAAAAGTTACAAATTTGCCAACCTAGACGTGTTTTTTCTACAGGTGGTTTCTGCTCCAATCTTCTGCACGACTGCCGACACAAACGAAAGTGCGCAAACAATCCCACTACTTCGACAACAAGAATACACACCCTCCTGTCTTCACACTACTTGGCACTTTGTTGTTGATCTACTGGTTGCAGNGTGGGTTTTTTTTTTTTTTTTTTCTACCGAGAGATTAGCCCACCAATATATACATCTGTGATTGCCAGACATTTGCGGTAGGCCTAGTCAGCTATCTCGAATGATACGCCTCATTAGTTCAATAGCCGTGGTCGGTACTGAAGCATGGATGATAGCAAGCGCCAACCTTAAAACTGTAAATTATAGTTGCCGGCTCAAAGCGATGGTCTATGTTTCTACTAGGGGTTATAATCCGAGGTGGCCAACACTCTAAGGAAAAGTAAGTTTTATGGAGATAATCCATAGTGATGAGAATCGGCATTGCCAGAATCCTCAGAATAACCTGAGAGGTTATCGAATTGGTTCTC